AGGGGAGAGAGTGCAGTAGTGACCCCCAGGGTCCAGCATCCATTGGCAGGTGTGCTGCAGACCTGTGGGCGGGGCTGCAGCCAAAGTGCTGATTCCCTGCAGATCCCCTGATCTCGCTGCTTGTCTCCACCTTAGACCGTCCCAGGTGCACTCCGGCTCTTCGTAAATGGAGAGGTGGGTAAGTGTCTTCCAGACAGAGATCTCGGACGCTTGGGTGAGTGCCGCAGTGGAGCCATGAACAGTGCTCCCTGCCTGGGGGGAGGCCTTGGCTTGTCTGCAGTGCTTGGGAAACTCAGTGCTGAGTGTCTCCTGGAAGCACACGGGGGTTCTGGCCCTCAGCACTCTTGTTCCCAGAGCACAGAGGATGTAGCCCTCGCAGGACTAGGCAGAGTGGAAGGAGAAAAAGCTCAAGTGATTTCCTGTTTTCTCCGTTAGTTTCAGCCCGAGGCTATGAGTACGACAATCTCTATGTGCACTTCTTTGTGGAGCTGCCAAGCACTAGTAAGTAATGTTCTTGCCTCTCCTTTTGTCGCCATCCTGACAATTCTGGAGACCTCCGCTCAGGCTTCCCTCCCTGCTTCTCCACTGAAGCGGCCACTGATCACGGCCACGTGCCAAATCCAGCGGGGACTTCCCTGCTTTCTCTTCCCCCGCTGTCTCTGAAGCATGTGCCACTCTCTCCCATGTTGTTGGTGGCTCGTAGGCCTTCCTGTGAGTCCCGTCCCTCTGTGGACCCTCGCCAGCAGAATGCCCGAGGCTGAGCTTGGGCGGTCTGTCCCTCTTCCTAGGCCACCTCACCCGGCCTGTGGCTTAGCCACACCTGGATGTCTCAGACGCCCTGGTTTCCATCTCAGCCTCAACCTCACCCCTGAACTCCAGATCCCGTCCGGAACCCTGTCGTTTCTGCTTGCCTTCACCAAGAAGAACTCACGATTCTCCTCCTCCCTCAGCTGTGCTTTCCTGGTCTTGCCCATCTAGCAGAATGGCAGTGTCGTCCGCTCAGTTCCTGATGACAGAAACCTAGGAGATCGATTCCTCTCTTTCTCTAGCTGTCTGCAGCCACTCAGCCCATCCGCTGTCAGCTCTGTCGTCAGTCCGTCCTCTGCACCCCAAGCCACTGCCATCTCTTAACTACGCCAGTGCATTAAGTTTCTGACTTACCCTCTTGCTTCCTCTCTTGCTCATACTTGCGGTTTTTTGCTGTGTGCACTACAGCTAAACAGAGTTATTAAAATATAATCCAGTTGTATCTTTTTTGAGCGAAAACCCCAACAGTCCCCTGCCCCCCAACACTTAGAGTGAACCCCAAACTCCATACCCTGAGTGAGGCCCTGTTTGTCCCTTACAGCATTCGCCATTCTTTCTGTTCTTGAACATGCCAAGTTCATTCCTCCGAGACTCCTTCCAGCACCATTCCCTTTGTCTGAAATCCATCGTCCACATCTTTGCATGGCTGGTTCCTCAGAGCTTGGCTCTCAGCCTGTCACTCTGAGAACTCTTCTCCCACTGCCTTGTCCAAGTGAGCCCCAAGTCGCTCAGCCCCCCGTTTGGTTTTAGGGTAGCCCTTCCCACTACCTGATAGTCTCTTGTGGGCCTGATTCTTTTCTGTCTCCCTACCACCCCACCCAATGTTAGCTCCATAAGAGATAAGAATCTTTTCTGTCTGGTTACCAAGATATCCTAGAACGTAGCAGACATTAGTTTCTGGCAGAGGAATGATTGACTGTGTGTGTGAATGAGCGAATGAGAGAAGGAAAGAACTCAGTTTTTTCTCAGCTTCTTGCTCTCCTCCCAGGTGAGCTTATATACCTGGTCTTTGGCTTTCAGACTGGTCAAGCCCAGCCTTCCAGCAGCTCTCAGGAGTAACGCAGACCTGTGCTACCAAGTGCCTGGGAATGGTACGGAGGATGAGGACGGTTTCTGGGTGGGCATGAGGGTTGGAAGCAGAATTTGAAGCATTACCAGGCCAATGGCCGTGCACGCTGGGGAGGAGTCCGGAGCCAGGCCTGACTCTTCTACGGTGCTGCGGGGTGCCTGGGCTGGGGGGTGCCTGGGCTGGGGGTCTTCTCTCTGGGTGAGAATGGCAGCGGCTTTGCCCCTCAGCTTCTTGTTTCCCACCAGGGAGGATAATTTGTCTTTTTCCTTCATGAAGACGACCTTGCATGGGCCACAGGGAGCACAGATTCCAGGGGAGGCCCTGGCCACCGTGCGACCTGACCGTAAAGTGACCCTCCTCTTTTTCAGGACAAGGTGGCTTACTTCTGTTACCCATTCACATTCGAAGCCTTCTTCCTGCACGAGGATGAATCCGCTGGTGAGCAGCTCCGTGGCTGGCCCGGGCCCTGGTTCTCCTCTGCAGTGCCCCCTCTCGGGGAAGCCTCCTGTGACCCGGCTGCTTTGCTCACTTGCTCCCAGATTCTCTGCCGGAGTGGCCTGTGCTCTACTGTGAGGTCCTCTCGCTGGACTTCTGGCAGAGGTATCGCGTGGAAGGCTACGGGGCTGTGGTGCTGCCTGTCACCCCAGGTAACCTCTCGTCCCTGCCCTGCTGCCAGAGGCTGTGGGTCCTGGGGCAACACTAACACTTCCAAAAGGTGTGCGTGTCTCTCATAAGCAGCGGGGTCATAAGAGATGAGAAGCTTCTCCTGTGAGGAATTGCTGCCAGTCCGTTGCAGACATCTGAGCAACAGCAGAGCTAACTTCTGCAGCTGAGCAGCCTGGCCACCTCTGTTCTCTGCCCAGCGCTCTTCCGATGCAATATGGCCTTGAGGAAGAAGCTGCAGGGCGATGGGCCCTGAGTGCACACACTGAAGGGATCTGCAGTCATTCTGAAATAAAAGCACTGATCTTTTATGGAGTGCAGACCCTGAGCTAAAGGCTTCTCAGTTAATTCTTGTGGCCACTCTGTGGGGCGTAGGTCGTCATCTTTGCATTTTACTAGATGAGGGGAAAGAGGCTCTGGGAGGCTCTGAAACTTTGTCCTTGAGTGTACAGGTCACAGACGGCCCGGCCGAGATTTGCATTTCCGTCTCACTGGTTTCCACCCAGGTGCTCGTCACCACTGTGCTAGCCCTCACCAGAGGCTAGGCCGTCACGAGCCCTGACATTTCTTCCTCCATCACTGCAGGTCTCAGTGGTGCAGGCCCGTGGCATTGCTAGGAGTCAGAGAGGGGCCATGTACCCTTTCGGGACCTGGCCCCACTCCCTTCTCCCTTGCACAGGCTCGTATACCCTGACTGTGTCCACGTGGAGGCCAGTGGAGCTTGGCACGCTGGCTGAGCTCAGGAGGTTTTTCATCGGCGGTTCTTTGGAACTGGAGGACCTGTCTTATGTTCGGATACCAGGAACCTTCAAGGTGGCTTTTGTCTGAGGAGACCCCATGCTGGGAACTTACACTCCTGTCTCTCTGTTCTCTGGAAGGCAGAGTCTGGGTTAAGGCCCCTTGGTCATCATTGCGTCCCATTACTTAGCGCTTGCTTCCTGTGACTTCCGCTGGAAGTCATGGCCATGTTTGGAACCAGGTGGGGGATCTCTTCTGCTCTCCAGGAGATCCCTAGAAAGGAGTGCCCTTGGAGCTTTCCCACGCTCCTTGTGGAAAACGAAGGGCTCAGTAATCAGTGGGGGAGGAGTGGCAGGAGGCTGGCAAGGCTGCCTAGTCTCAGAGGAGCTCTGCAGGCTCCCTGGTCACAGTGGGGCAGCCGGTACTGGCCCTGAGCTGGTGGGATGGGGTCTCCCCGATGGAAACGGTCTTCCTGAGAATGAGAATCAGAAGGGCGGCAAGGCCAGTGTGGGGCCCCAGGTCCAGAAACCTCAGAAACCTGATGCTGTCCCATCCGTATGTCCCAGGGGGAGCGTCTGAGCCGCTTTGGATTCCGCACCGAGACCACAGGCAGTGTCACCTTCCGCTTGCACTGTCTGCAGCAGTCCAGGTGAGTGGCCCTGGCCCTGTGCCTTGGGACTCCTTATCCCTGGGTGCCGGGCAATGCCCCAACCGTGAGGTGGGCTTCCTTGCAGGGCCTTCATGGAATCAAGCTCCCTGCGGAAAAGGATGCGGAGTGTGTTGGACCGTCTGGAGGGATTCAGCCAGCAGAGCTCCATTCACAATGTGCTGGGTAGGTTGCCCTCCCCAGCTGGCCACCCAGGGCCATGTGGGCCGTGTTCCTGCCTGTACCATGGCAGCGTCTCCTTCTCCTGCAGAGGCCTTCCGTCGAGCCCGGCGCCGCATGCAGGAGGCCCGGGAAAGCCTCCCCCAGGACCTAGTGAGCCCCTCAGGAACCATGGTCTCCTAGCCCACCGCAGCCCTGGCCCACCATGCAGGAAGACACGACGAGAGAGGGGCTGGCACAGTCAGTGATCCTGTGGCCCCGTGTGGCCCCGCTTCACATTTCAGCAGCTGCAGATGGGCTCCACAGCAAGGCAGGCTTTCTGGTCTGAGACTCATTTGGGTGAGCACACGGTCAGCCTGTTCTTGACCCAGCCTCTTGCACGGGCTCAGTGGTAGGGAGCAGCAGGCAGTTCCTGCCCACAGCCTTGCAAAATGGAACCGATTTTCTTTCAAGAAACAGGAAGGAGAGACTTAAACCACTGGCCCCTCAGTCTCAGCTGCCTCTTTCCAGCACAGCCTTCTGCTATTGCTTGGGGCTTATTGAGCTGGAGATGTGACTCATTTCATAAGCGAAGGCTGAGGGCAGTGCCTAGTCCCTTCTGTTAGCTGGGCAGTGTGTTTTTATTGTGCTTTTGTGCATAAAAACTTTTTTATATTGACTGATGTTCTGTGGCTGCTTCTCTGCTCAGGTCACTGGCATGCCTGAGGGGTTCGTCTCAGTGCTGGGGCCCCTGCTGCTGTTCCCACTCTAGAGTATTCTTTGGACTCTCCATTCAGCCCCAGAAGAGGCCTCCAGGAGAGCACCAGCCTGCATCTTGGCAGCAACCCTCTTCAACATCTGGGGCGAGCAGAGGGCTGTGGCCGCGCCCTCCCTGGCCAGGCATAGAAACGGCAGCCCTTATGCTTAGCTGTCCTTTATTGGTAGAGGCAGAACTTGCTGCCCAGGCTGCAGGCTCAGGACTGTGGGACCATGTGGTCTCCCAGGCATGGGGGTGGGAGGAGGAAGTTTGGAAGACAGAGGAAAGTGCTGGAAGGCCTCAGCTGACTCTTGCTGGGCCTCAAGGCTCATGGCTTGGCTCCCAAGTCCTTGCATGTGGTGTTGATTCATAACCTGATGCCCAAGAGGCTCCAAGCAGGTGTGTTCGTTCCTGTGGGAGCCCCAGCCATCACACAGCCAGGGCAGCCAGCTCTGGAGCTGTCACCTGCAAAAGCATCAGCAGGATACAGTTCTCACGGGGGAGAGAGCAGCCTCCTGCTCATCCCCTTCCCGTCTTCCAGGGTGTGAGAGTTGGGATAGACTCTTGAGGAACAGCAGAACTGGATAAGCGGGAACTTGCAGGACATCTGGAAATGCAGCCATTTTAGGGTACTAGTGACCAAGCTGAGGGGAGCTGGACACTTCCTAGTTATCCGCAAGCCCTAGGCCCTGAGATGAACCGTCAGCCTGGGAGCGAGTATACTGGGAAGCACTAGGAATGAGCACCCTGTCCCCGTGACAAGTTCTGTTGTCCGCTTGGAGATGTTAGGAGGACTCGGCCGTGCTGTCTAGGGAAGGGTGTGAGGGTCCCACCCAGCCTCGGGCTGCTGGGGGAGGCCTCCTCTTACCTGCAGAAGCCTCATGTGCCTCGCCAGGCGGACAGGTTCAGCCTGGGAATACAGCTACAACTCACAAAGCCATGGGGGTAAGTGTTGGCCTTGAAGATGTCCCGTGAAACAGTGGTGATACCCGTATTGTCGCATATGATTCGAGACAAGGAAATCTTTCTCAGGGCCCTGCGTTGTCTCTCGGTGAAAACACCTTGCTTCTGCCACCAGAACCTGCCAGATAATCAAGAGGTGTGGGTGAAGGTATGGGAGGAGTCACCTCATACGAGCACCTGTTGTGTCCTAGGTATTTTACATACATTATTTCAGTTCTCACAAAATTCCTGCAAGGTTGGTGTTACCATCTTAGAAATGAAGAAACAGGTCCAATTGCCCAGTATTAAGTACATAGTTATTTAAGTGCCCAGGGCTGGATCTGAACCCAGGCAAATGCCAGCACCAAATCTGGGTCAGGTCTTAAGCCAGCAGTATTGGAGGGAAAGCAGGTGGACCCTTTCTGCTCATGGGTTTTGGACCTCCTAGTCTGGCCTGGGGAGACTGACAAGTCTCCCTCCTGGGTGTCAGGTGACTCCAGCTCAGGCAGCGTCAGCCTGAGAGACACTGGGACAGTGTCTCTCTCCCTTGGACCCAGCTTTCCAGGGAAGACCTTCCTGGTCTCAGATCCTGTGAACCTGGAAGGAAAAGAGGCTAAAAAAGAGCTTTGCGCCCTGCCTTAGTTGTGTCACGGTAGCATTTTTCTGCCCTATCCCTGGGTCTTGCAGGGGGGGTTGCTGACTTACCTGTCTCCATCTCGGGCTCTTCGGAACTGGTTCTCAAATAGACAGGCCAGCAGGGGCCCCACTCGGGCCCCCGGCAGGAGAGGCTCTGCCACAGCCCCGATCCAGATGTCAATGTTGGCAGGTGTCCCATACAGGTTCAGGAACTTCCTTGCCAAATCCCGGTTTTTCAGCACCCGGCTAAGCTGTGCCAAATTCTGAGGCTGGGAGAGCCCGCAGAAGCGCCTCCAAGCATTGTAGCCTGTTGGGGAGGGGGTGAAGTAGCTTTAGTCTTGCTGACCCCCCCAACTAGCTTCTGCTGCTTTTCACAAGTCCTCAGAGAGAATGCTCTGTGGCCAGTGCATATTGGATGGAACAAGAGGATTCCTTTTTAAAAATTTTTGCAATATCAGATTGCTCTCTCTTTAATTTAAAATATGAGTGGCCGGCGCTGCGGCTCACTTGGCTAATCCTCTGCCTTGTGGCGCCGGCACACCAGGTTCTAGTCCCGGTCGGGGCACCAGATTCTGTCCCGGTTGCCCCTCTTCCAGGCCAGCTCTCTGCTGTGGCCAGGGAGTGCAGTGGAGGATGGCCCAAGTCCTTGGGCCCTGCACCCCATGGGAGACCAGGATAAGTACTTGGCTCCTGCCATTGGATCAGCGCGGTGCGCTGGCCGCGGCGGCCATTGGAGGGTGAACCAACGGCAAAGGAAGACCATTCTCTCTGTCTCTTTCTCTCACTGTCCACTCTGCTGTCAAAATAAATAAATAAAAAATAAAATAAAATATGAGTGGACAACCATGCCGTGTGTGTCTCAGACTGTAGCCCAAAACTCATAACCACATATCTGATGTTTAATGTTAGTGAGCTTATGTTCATTCACTGGGCACAAATAAAATGGTACCCAGAACATAGGGAGATATAGCAAAAAGTTTCATGGAAAAATGGAGCTAAAAGATAATGTACCTTTTCTATGATTTTTTTTTGGAAGAACTCTGGAAAAGAGTCAGATTTATAGAGTGAATGAATGAGCAAATGAACAAATCAACAAGTGAAGGTCATGGTCACCTACTCAGAATATGATTCCGTTGTATGAGACATCCAGACTAGGCAACAGTCCAGACTGTCCCCCAGCTGAACACAGGAGAACCATACCATGTCCTACCACTAAGCACTTGCCTGAGTGTTCTCAGGACTCTCGCAACACCTTTGTGAGGTACTCTTTGATATGTTAATTATATCTGGAATATCTGAATTTGAGCAACCATGACTTTTCCAAGTTTACTATTTTTTTTTTTTTGACAGGCAGAGTGGACAGTGAGAGAGAGAGACAGAAAGGTCTTCCTTTTTCCGTTGATTCACCCCCCAATGGCCACTGCGGCCGACGCGCTGCGGTCAGTGCACAGCGCTGATCTGAAGCCAGGAACCAGGTGCTTCTCCTGGTCTCCCATGCGGGTGCAGGGCCCAAGGACTTAGGCCATCCTCCACTGCACTCCCGGGCCACAGCAGAGAGCTGGACTGGAAGAGGAGCAACCAGGACAGAATTCGGCACCCAGACCGGGACTAGAACCCGGGGTGCTGGTGCCACAGGCAAGGATTAGCCTAGTGAGCAGCAGCACCGGCCCCAAGTTTACTATTAAGTGGAGTTCAGTTCCAAATTTGGTACTGGACTTGGGAAGGGATTAGAGGAGACTGCAAGAGTTATTGTCAAGATAATCCTTCAGGGACAGATAATCAACTGAATGACAACTTGAGTGGCTAGTAATCTTAGCTTCCAGCAGGGGGCGCCCAAAGTGTCTTAGCTTTCAGGAGCACCCTAGTATACAGAAAGAAACTGATACTGCCAGGTGCTTAGAATGGAATAGGCAACAGGAAGCCCTCCCTCCTTTCTATGTGGCCCAGTTTCTATCTGGGCAGGGAGGTTGGGGACAGGGAGGAGGAGAGAGAAGCCAGGCAGTGGCGAAAGCCTTCCCCCAATGCTGTGGAAGCGAGTTAAATGGAAGAAAGGAGACATTTTAAAATACATTCCGATTTTACTGCTTTCTATTTACGTGACCCTGGGATTTTACTAGCTGTCTGTGAGTTTATTTCCTCATCTATGAAACAGCTGTAATAATAGCTGCTTCCCAAGGTCACTGGGAAGACTGAATAAATTAACATACATAAAAGGGTCTACTTCTTTCCTGCAATAAGTATTTTGTGCCTCACCAAACAGCCAGTGTTGCCTTAGTTTTATTCCACCTGCTCCCTGCCTCTAAGGCTTCTTGTCTTTCTCTACCTAGAGCAGTGGGCCAGCTGCTGTAGCCATGAACTTTTAGCCCTCTTCCTTGGAAGTAGCCAGTGGGTGGGGAGGGCAGAGTTTTCTCCCTAACTTTTAAATCTACTGCTTTTCTCTACTTGGAAAGTCCTTGTCTCCTCATTTCAGCTCTTGTTCCCCAAGTCCTGATCCTGTGGTAAACCTGAAGTCGGAGACCCTACAGTAGATGGAAAAGACTCAGCCAGGAAGCAAAGAGGCGTCCCCAGGTGTGCTGTGCTGCACCGGCCTTGGCCTTGCACTCTTCATCACTACGCATCCGTGTACATAGTTCCAGTCAGAAAAGAGGCACCGAGGCTCTCCTCTGAACCGTCTCTCACCTGGGAGGCCGTGGTCCCGGCTGCGTTGCATGTTGAGAGCCGCCAGGTCCAGCCCGATCCTCCTCACTTGCCGGAACAGCCGGTCCCGGAGCTCATCCACCATTATGGCGTCCTGACGGTTCAGTTTGGCAGGGGTGGCCATAAGGCCTCGCAGGATGGGATCGATGCCACCTGGTGGGAGGGATGTGAGTGGCACAGATCAGTCCAGCCTCAAATGATGCCAAGCCAGCTCAGGACCAGACAAAGCCATCGCTTATACCCGATAGTGCTTGCTAGGGCCCAGAGCCTGGTGGATATGGAGGTGCTGGGGGTCAGGTCACCCCGCTTCTTAAAGAACAAGTGGCAGATGAGCACCTTTCAGGTCCACAGCTTGCCAGTCTGACTTCAGTTCTACCCTTAGAAGTCCTCTCCTCCCCCACCGGGTGGCCCTGCCTTTTCCCACAACCCTGGGGTGATATTAGCAGTGCCTGGCCTCTTGGCAGTGAGCTGGACCTGCCTGGGGCAGAATGTGCACCCCACCCTCACCCCTTTGCCCCTGGAAAACATCACCTTCGTACACGATTCGCCAACTAGCAAAGAAGGCAGAGCTAAGCGGCACGTGGGAGTTCGGTGCTGAGGCCTGGTATCTGCTGTCCAAGCGGAACATGAATGGCTGGAGCATGGTGTGGCCGAAGCGGAAGGCCAGGGTGAAGACATTGGCCACGCGCGGGTCCACATTGGCGCAATACCCTCTGTAGGACCCCAGGGTCCTCCTGGCCCGGGCCTTGCCCAGAACGAGAGGTAGGAAGTCTCGGTAGGTGATGATCTGGAGGAGAAGATGCCCCAGCGGTCCCAGCTCACACCCTTGCTTTTACACACACCTTGTGCTTGTCAAAGGGCTGCTCGGACACAGAATGTCTTTATTATCCCATCAGCTAAGGCGGCGTTAACCCCCCGTGGGTGGGTGGAGATGCAGAAGCCCACGGGGCAGGGTGACGTGGTGAGTGGCAGAGTCCAGCACAGAGGTCAGGTGGAGGTGGGGGCTGCTCTCTCAGGCTGCCTTCTGGAGCACGCTAGGACCCAGAGCTGCTCCCTACCTGGACCATGGCCCCTACGATCTTGCGCGCCTCCTGGTACAGCTTGTCTCCAGTCCACCGGGGATTCAGGTGTCTCAGCTCGGTGGCCAGTCGGTTGTGTTCACGCATAAAGAGGGTGTGCATGGCCGCCAGTTTGGGGGTTTCCGTTGACCGGGAGTCACCTTGAAAGCCCCAAGTTCACAGTTGGCATAGCCCTTCCCATAGGGAGAGAAGGGGTGGGCAGAGCTCCTGACCTCAGCTGGGCTGTGAGGCTCCCACCGGCCCCGCCCCTCCCCAACAGCACAGGCTGGGGCGGGGCAGCTGCTCCCCTCAGTACAGGAGGATCACATCCACAGCCCAGCCCGGCTCGGGCAGAGAGATCTGGGTGACTCGGGAACCCTGCGAGCCCACCGGCCCAGGAACTGCATGTTCTCTGCCACGGACTGTGCCTGGGCTGGTCCAGGAACTTGCTGTCATGTGCTGTCTCAGGGAAAGAGGAAAGGGAGGGTGAGCTGGGGAGAGGCCTGCCCTGTACCCAGGCCTTCTCCTAGAGAGAAAATCAGTCAGGCACTGGCTTTTAACAAATGCCTTTGGCGCAAGGTCTTACTCAGACTCGGGCTACCTCCCACGCAGGCATACGCTGCTTACCTCTGAAAGGGAGTCGGTGGAGCAGGGTGCACAGAAGCCTGGGAGCCACCCTGGCTGCCGAGACACCACGCGGGCTCGGCCCATGAAACTCCGTGCCCGGCCAAGGTCTCAGTTTCTCGGCAGTGACGTGAGGCTGGTAACAACCCCCCCCCCTTTCTTCCGGGTCTCCCACGTGGGTGCTAGGGGCCCAAGCACTTGGACTATCTTCCACTACTCTCCCAGGCCATTAGCAGGGAGATGGATCAGAAGAGGAGCAGCCCAACAGGAACCTGGTGCCCATAAGGGACGCCGACGCCGCAGGCGGAGGTTTAACCTACTGCGCCACAGTGCCGGCCCCCAGAACCACCCTTTTCTAACAGCTGCTTTCACGCAAAGGGGCCACTGCTGTGGGAAAGTTGTGCAAGTGTGAGGAAGAGCAGTGTGCGGACACGCAACGAAATAAGGGAGCTTCCCACTGGGGGAGCTGCGGGGGAGGGCTGGCGCACCATCCACGGGCAGGGTCCTTGTCACCGACCAGAGACTCTGGGGATCTCTGGCCCCACACACACAGAGCATGCGCAAAGGGGCTCCTTCCGGCCCACAGAGCCCGCGGTGGCTGAGGTGGGCCTGGCCCGAGGGCGCGAACCCTGTGCTCTCCCCAGAGCCCTGGACCGGCAGTTTCCCGGGAGGACGCCAGCCGCGCCGGCCTCTGACCTGCCAGGAAGCAGGGGATGCGCGCCGAGCGGTTGGTGAGGAGGCAGGGGTCGTCGTGCAGGGTGTCGAAGGGCAGCAGGGCCCGGCCGTTGTCGCGGAAGCGCTGGTTGACGGCCAGCAGCCCGAAGTAGTTGGTCCGGTTGCGGAGCCGCAGGGACAGGGAGACCTCGCTGCCGTACACCATGCTGGCGTCCACGAAGGAGGTGAGCGCGTTCAGCTGGTTGCGGACTTTGTTCTTGTTCCGGGGGCAGGCGGGCGCCGAGCGGAAGAAGGGGATGCAGTCGCGCTGGTTCCTGATGCGAGGGTCGTTGGGCGGGATCTGAGGTGGGAGAGGAGTCAGGGACGCCCGGGGGCCCCTCAGGAGCGGGTGGCGCCTCTCGCTCATCCCCCAGCTCCCCAAACCTTCCACAGCTCCCCAGTGCCGGGAAGCCCTCCTTGGCTCACCCAGACTTCCACGCCGTCAGACCCCTTCGGTCTGAGTGTCCTGAGCCCTTTGTGTTAGAAACGGCTGAAGCTCTTGAAGCAACCCAGACCCTCCTGTTACAGGTGGGGAAGCTGAGCCCCAGGAAGGGCAGTGACAGCCAGTTAGCGAGAGAGGTGGGATTTGAACCGGCTACTCCTGACACTTGGGCCTGAGCACCTCAGTTCAGGAGATACTTCCTAAGCCTCCTTCTTACTGGGTGCTTTGGAGACTGTGAAGGTGCGAACCCCAGTGCAGGTTGCAGGAACCTAGCGGTTCAGTGAAAACACACACACATGAGCTTAGTAACCCTAATGTGGGATGGCATTTGCTATGCTTGATATAAAAGAGAAACGTTCAAGGTGTAATAGGAAGAGCTGGGAAGGATCCCCAGAGGAGGTGGCCCAGAGCCAGGGCTTGAGGCTGCGACAGGGTACGGGTGCCGTGGAGAAGGGCCAGGCTGGGGCGTTCTCAGAGCCTCCCTCCTGAATTGGCCCCACCTTCTCAAGGTGAGTGAGTGTGTGCGTGTTTCCCTCCCACCCCGGGTCTTCCCGGGGGCCCCACACTCTCCCTGCCTTTCTGCGTGAAGAACAGTATCCTGTTCCCAGCCCGACACCAGAGGTTGGCGAGAGCTGCAGGGCCCTGGGACCAGCCCAGGAAGGAGAAAGGCAAGAGCTAAGCGGCTCTAAGGACCAGAGTCAGACCCCGGGCCAAGGGCTGTCTGGTTTGCTGCCGCCTCTGCGAAGCCCGAGCTGAGCCCCTCTCCTGCCCCTGACAGGTGTGCGGAACAGGAGGCTCTGGCCAGCCGGCACTTCTTGTGTCCCTGTCTGTGCCCCAGCACCTGGAGCGTGGCACTTCAGTCTCCCCGGTCCCTGCCTGCGCTCTCTGCCTGGGGCGGAGGCTGTGCCAGAGGCGGGGGTGGGGGGTGGGGCGGGTAGGGGGTGGGGATGAGGTGGTGGTGGTGGTGGTGGTGAGGGATGGAGGGGGTGTGTGGGGGGAGTGGCTGAGGGTACCTTGATGGGGAAGCAAGGGGGCAGCTGCGCACAGGTTTTCTCACAGTCCACACCCGCAGTAAAGGCCACTCTGGCTGGAGACTCCGGGGAGAAGTCCAGGTCGTGGTCAATGAACTGGCCCCACTGCATGAACATGAGGGCCCGGCCGGGGTCCGAGGCCAGCCTGTTGCTGGGGAACTGCACGATCTGGTTGGAGACAGCCCGCACCTGGTGGGGAAACAAGGTTAGCCTGGGCTCCTGAGCCAACCCCAGTCTCGGGGCAGTGACTCCCCCTGCTGGAGGGAGCAGCTCTCTCTCCCGAAGATGGGGCCCCCTCCTGCTGTGGCCACCATTCCTTGAAGGATCCAGAAGGAGAGGGAAGGAGAGGGGTCCGGCCGGCTGGCTCAGGCCCCACAGCTCTTCCAGAGAGCTGAATAGATCACACTGACAGTTGGCTGCGTAGACGGATAGCTAACCAGAACAGAGTCGTGGCTGGTTACAAGCTGGTGGATAATAACTGAGCACACAGAGACCTGGATAGAGAAGCGAGAGGAGTAGTGGGAGAAAATAAGCAGCTGTTGACAGGTGAGTGAGTGATAGATTCTTGTATGATACATTAATAGGAATATCCTCAGTATTGATGAGTGGATACATATATAGATACAGCCACACTGAAGTGCCTTTTTTTTGACACTAGTTCTCTTGAGACTAGAATTACAGTTAATACTGCAATGGCATTAATAGATCACACCCTATACAGCAGTTTATGCCAAGTACTGATAGTCAGACTAGCTCCGTGAGGCAGGTTGAATTGCCATTTGACAGATAAGCAAATTGCGACTCGGAACTAACTCATTATTTGCCCAAAGCCAGCCAGCTGGGTTGGTGCTCTGGCAGACCAACTCTGGGCTCCCCATGTTTATAGAAGGTCGAGCCTCCCCCAGACCCTCAACCCGGTCTCACAAGAGGGAGGAGGAAGCCGTTGCGCCTCTTGCGGGGGGTCCAGCCGAAGGGGAGCGACAGCCCGTCCTCATACTCGGCCGGCAGCCAGCGTGCCAGGGCCTGGTTGGAGGCCCCCAGCCAGGGTCTCTTCCTGCAGCAGTGGACAGCTCAGGGTTAGCAGGGAGGTCAGAGCCTGGACGGGGCTCAGCATGGAGGGTGGGGTCCCTGGGGTACCCACTTGTTGTTGCATCGGCCGGTGATGGTGCGGTACTTGTTGCTGCACTTCTCCGCCTGCTCCTGGACTGCACAGCCACTGGCCTGGGACAGCAGGTGCAGCTGGTGTTCCGTTAGCACATCTTGTGTGTGTTGGGGGGAAAGACAGGGTCCTGGATCCTTCCCAAGCTGGCCTGCTCAGTGTCTTCCATCCCTGTCCCCTCTGTCCTCCCAACACCCCAAGACTGTACAGTTTGCCACCCCCACCTGGCTTCCTTCCACTCCCAGGCCAGTACCAGTGACATTGAAGGGGCTGGAGTCCCAGGGCCATAACTTCTTTTTCAGTAGCCCCAAGGCCACGTGCAGATAGTCAGCGGCCCTCACAGCTGTCCTGGTGGCCGCCACCGGCTGCTTGAAATAGGACAGGAGGTCCATGGGACTGGCCGAGCCACTGCGAAGCCGCTGCTTGATGCTGCCCAGAAGAGGAGGAATAAGGGCAGGAGGAAGGGAGCAGAGCCTCAGCTGGGGCTGGACAGTCAGGACAGTGCAAACCCAGGGGAGGGAGGGCAGGCTGCCTCTCCACCAACCAGGGAGTCCATCCACTGTCCCCTGCAAGGGTGTGGGGTGAGATGACCTTGGCTGGAGCCCATCCCCCTCCTCGCCAGACTTCCGCGCTGTCAGACCCCTGGGGCTGGGTTCGAGGCCCACCTCTTCTGGGTCCGATTGTAGGCAGCATCCACCAGCACCTTGGCCTCCGCTATGCAGCCCTGAAGCACTGAGGTCTCCACCGCCCTGGGAGAGGCTGTCCAAGGGGATGGGGACTCAGAGTCCAGGAGAGCCACAGACCCTCCCAGACCCAGCGCTTCCCTCCCCAGTGCCCTCCCCTCACACTGACCCTCCTCCTTGGCTGTCTAGGGGGCTATTACCTGGGGCAGTGCCCTCCCAGGCCTGGGCGAGGATGAGTGTGGCTAGGACCCCTGCCAGGGCCTGTAGCAGCTGCATCTCTGCAATTGAGGGCCCCAGGCACAGCTGGGTAAGCAAGCAACACCCCCAGCCTGCACAGCCCCCTCCTCCTCCTCCTTCTATGGGAGCCCTGGGAAGGAACTTTTATAGCCCCTCCCAGGGCGGGGGAAGGCAGCCCTGGAAGTCCAGCCCAGTAGGTGGGGCCCTGGGACCTCCCTCTGGTTTCTGGGAGTTGTAAATGGGAAATGCCCTTGCCAGCCTGGGGACATCTCCCCTTCCTCCACTCACTCCATCCCATCCTCTTCCATGGAGGCCACTGCTGGATTTTTCCCAGGGCCCATAGCAGCGCCTGGGACACAGGTGTTGCTCAGTGAATTTGCTGGGTGACCAAGGAGCAGTGTGCCTCGGGGAATGGGGGAGAAGGGCTTAGAGGAGGCTTGACACTGCCGCTAATAAGGCGCATGACCTTCAGCAAGTCATGGCCCCTCTCCAGGCCTCAGTTTCTAAATCCCTAAAAATGGGAATGGGGCCAGATGTTTGGAAAGGCTCTTCTCTTTCCTCATCAGGCAGTCCAAGGTCTTTCTTTTGTATCCCCCCATTCTCAGCACAAATCCAGGAACCTAGTAGGCACTCGTGTTTGTTGAGTGAATGAATGATGTATGATCAGTGATTCATCCCTCGCCTTCTCCCCTGTTCCTGCCAGCTCCCTCCAAGGTTCCAGGGAGAGGATGAGGGCATCAGAGGAGTCAGTGAGATGTCACAGTAAAACACCCAGCTGAGGGAGCAGCTGGTGGCAGAACTCCATAAAAGCTGAGGTCTTGCTGCAGACTCACTTTTCTTTTTTTTTAATCTTTAAAAATTTATTTATTAGGATGACAGAGAGAGAGAATCTCCCATCTCTGTTTCACTCCCTAAATGCCCACAACAGTCAGCACTGGGCTGCTCTGGGCCAGGCCTAAGCCAGGAGTCCAGATTCAATCCAGGTCTCCCACGTGGGTGACATGGACTCAAGTACTTGAACCATCTTCCATGGCTTTCCAAAGTGTGCATTAGCAGGAAGCTGGAATCAGAAGCCAGGACTTAGACCCGGCACTCTGATACAGGCACAGGAGTCTTAATCGCCAGATGCCGGCCCTCGCTATGGGCTTCCTGCTTCTCTAGGCGCTTGTTCCGTGCGTGTCAGTTGGGTCTGCTCTGAGTGCAGGTGTAAATCCCGAGTTCCTCTGGGGCTGGGTTCGGGGCAGCTTCTTTAGAGCCAACCAGTGCAGTGGCTGCACACTGCTCAGGAGTTGAACCCGGCTCTGTCACCAGCTGGGTGACCTCCATTTCCACATCTTAAGTGTACAATAGCCCCATCAGTCTGCCCCAGGGCCCATGCTCTCTGACCCTTCCTTGCCTTTCCTCCTGCTGCCGTCTCTCCTTGGGTTGGGCACTGCCTGCTCTTTGCCTCTGAGGCCCGGCCCGCCTGGAGAGCATGTGCTAGTGTCTGAGGCACAGCCGCCCAGTCATTCCTGCTGTGCCCACAGCCGGCCTCCCCTGACACTTCTGCGGGTACACATATCCATCCATTCCTCAGTGAGGACCCCAGCAGGGCTGTTCCAGGTCTCCTCGATCCTTCCAGAGTGCTCTGCACAACCCCTCCTCCTGCAGCCGGGCCACCTGGTCTGACGGTTGCTCTTGGGACAGCCACTCTGCTTTGGCAACCCCTCACTATCTCATCTTCAGCAGAGGCCCTCCTGTGACAAGGGGCCTGGGTGGCAAGTTGCTGTGTTGGGGCTGGAAGTGCCCTGGGTTCCTGTTGGCTGACACCCTGGATGGGTCAGGGGCAATCCCCATGCCCCATGCCCCTCTCCCCCAGTTTCCTGGCTGTGAGATGGGGGCAGTGGACCTCAGCTCCTCAGCTGCCCTTGAAGCCTGATATCCCCAGAAGCTCCATCCAGGTCTCCCACATGGGTGGCAGGAACTCAATTCCTTGGGCCATCACCGCTGCCTCCCAGAGTTCACATTTTAGCAGGAAGCTGGAGTCAGGCAGGAATCAAAGCCAAGTACTTCGATATGGAGTGCAGGCATCTTAACCCAGCGTCTGCACTGCTGGGCCAGAAACCCACCCTCTGTGAGCTTTCACAAAGACCCTCGTGTTACACTTCTCAGTCTGCATTCTTTCAGTTTGGTAAATCCTAAACACAAATTCAAGCTCCAGATGGCTGCAGAGAAGCAAGTCAAGTTCGGTCCTGCTGCTTTGCTGTCCCTGTGCCGTTGCTGTGGACATGGAATTGATGGTTTCAAGGCAAGAGAGTGTGGCTCTGCGGGGCAGGGAGTGCCACAGCATCTGGCGCCACTCGCAGGACTCAGCCACAGCTCACGTGGGCCGAGGCAGCCACCATACCCACACAGCTGGCAGTGCTTCCCTTTGCCGTCCTCATGGGAGGTGGGGTTGGGAGGAGATGAGCAGTCGGAATGCATTAGCTTCATGCGTGTGGTCGTGGTGCTTGGTGGTAATCACGGTAATTGTTGACATTCTTCACCGTGATGTGTAGCCATTGCTAGCAGGCTGCTGTTTCGTTCATAACCTTACTGCTTGCAAATTCCTACAGACAGGGCATGCTTTTTTTTTTTTTAATTTTTGACAGGCAGAGTGGACAGTGAGAGAGAGAGACAGAGAGAGACAGAGAGAAAGGTCTTCCTTTTGCCGTTGGTTCACCCTCCAATGGCCGCCATGGCCAGCGCGCTGCGGCCAGCGCATTGCGCTGATCCGAAGCCAGGAGTCAGGTGCTTCTCCTGGTCTCCCATGCGGGTGCAGGGCCCAAGGACTTGGGCCATCTTCCACTGCACTACCGGGCCATAGCAGAGAGCTGGCCTGGAAGAGGGGCAACCGAGACAGAATCTGGCGCCCCAACCGGGAGTAGGACCTGGTGTGCCGGCGCCGCAAGGCGGAGGATTAGCCTATTGAGCCACGGCGCTGGCCTAACTTTTTAAAAATATTTATTTATTTATTTATTTGAAGGTCAGAGTTACACAGAGAGAGAAGGAGAGGCGGGGGAGGGAGGTCCTCCATCCACTGGTTCACTCCCCAACTGGCCGCAATGGCCAGAGCTGTGCCTATCCGAAGCCAGGAGTCAGGGGCCCAAGGACTCAGGCTATCTTCCACTGCTTTCCCAGGCCATAGCAGAGAGCTGGATCGGAAGTGGAAAAGCCAGGACCCGAACCAGCATCCATATGGAATGCCGGCGCTGAAAGTGGCAGATTTACCCTCTACGCCACAGAGCTGGCCCCAGGGCATGCTTTATTTTCTGTGTGTTGGCGACCAAACCCCCTGCCTTGTCCTTTGTGCCGCTTCCACTTCCCCTCACTAAAATCAAGGCAGGATGCCTCAGGCCCTTCTGCAGCCTCTTCTCCTACACACACACACACACACACACATGCACATGTCCATACATGCACACATGCACACACACCACTTTGGGTTCCTGGGAGAGAAAGAAGGGAGTGAGTTCTGAGCACCTGGAGATGGGGAAGGGACTGCTCATTTGCTCTACTGGGATGAGCCCAGCCCCCCCGGGTCCTGCTGGGCAGGATCCGTGTGGGATCTATGCACAGTGTCTCCCTCACATCCTTCCGTGGTTTCCCAGGCCAGGCAAGAGCTCTCCAGTGTCCACCCCACCCCTCTCTACCACCTACTCACTGCAGCCTTGATCTCCCTGAAGTTTTCTGGTGCACCCTGTTTCCCCTCACCATAGGTCCTGGCACCCTGTTTCCCCTTTGCCTGCCTGCCTATCTTCTAATTTTCCCAACCAAGCTGAGCCATCACTTCCTCCAGGAAGTCTTCCCTCATGCCTTTCATCCTTCAACTATGACCCGAGTTAGATGTGTACCTCCCCAGGCTGTCTCCGTGTCCATCTCCTGCATAGGTCGCTGAGTCCCTCGGGGGACCCCATGACTGTTCTTATTTATGGCGCTGTGCCCAGCATCCAACACAGGGCAAGGGACAGAGCCAGTGCTCGGGAATGTTGTGGAACATGAGTGGCCGGTGTCCTGGCCTGACTCTGTAAGTCCACACGACCTTCTCTGCCCGGCAAGGAGGACATATCCCTCACCTCCAGCTGGGGTTTCCCAAATCTTCCTTCTCTGCCCACTGTAGCCTCAGTGCCCCATGCAAAGACTGGCAGGGCTTCATACATATTGTGGAATGGGTGCATTTGCTGTGAGCTTGCCTGTCATGGCTCTTGGTCAAGGAGTGACTTTTTGCCTGTACATCTGTCAGGACCTGGTGCCTTTGGCCAGAGGCATTGCTCTCTTTGGGCCAGGCCAGCCCAGGTCAGGCTGAGATCCAGACCTTGGGCCATGAGGGTGGCTTCCCTACTCAGCATCTTTCAGCTGCAGTACCCAAGAACCTTCCTTCCCACCCCGCCCAGCCAGTTCAAAAGCCTCAATTTTTCGCAACCATTTTCACAAGAACGGTCCACCAGCTTTGGTGGAGCGGCTGGCCACAGGTTTGATTAGATCGCATTATCTGCTAAGCTCTAACGGCACCCATTGAGACAGAGAGGGCAGGGCAGGACTCAGGGCTGGTGGGCTCCCAGGGGCTCCTAGGAAGGGTGTCCTTGGCCCTATTCTCACGTTGAGAACAGATGTATGCAGGGGGAAGAGGCTTGGCTCAGACCAGCCATTGGTACACAGGTGCGCATATATGTGTACACATGTGCATATGTGTGCTCCAGAATCTGGACCCACACAGGGTTGGAAGACTCTCCTCCTGAGACAGGCAGCTCTCAGTCCTCTGCCTGTAGTGAGGCTGGAGAAAATGCAGTTTGGGGTCCTGGAACGCTGGCCTTGAGTCCAGCACCACCGCTGCCTGTGAGCTTCAGCAAGGACTTGCACCCTAGTAAAGTCACCGAAGGAAGGGAGGGTCGGGGGCACGAGGACTCTGGTAAGCACAGGTGCAAGCTGGGGGCTGCACTGAGGGCGAGCACCCAGCCCCGCCCTCCTCCCTCCGGCTGTAGATAAGCAAGAGCTTGTACCTCACCACCTCTGACACACCAGGAGCTCCCGTGGGAGGAACTGGGGCATGGTGTGTGTGTGTGCATGCGTGCGTGCGTGTAGAGGTGTCGGTGATCTTGGGGGACTTAGTCCCTTGGGATCGCTGAGTACACAACGTCAAGGGCAGGAGCTCACTGACTGGGGCCCTTTGTGTCAGATGAGGGCTGCTGTCTGTGTCCCTGCCTTCTGACCTCCCCTCTCCCCACGCAGGCTTCTGATGGTGTCGTTGGAAAAGGGCTGGGCTCACTTCTGCTCCTTCTCACTTCCCCGGAAGGCAAGTTAGCCAGCT